GGGGAGGTGTTCGGTTGTTATGGCAACAACACACCTCCATCAGCACCAGCACTTATCTGTGACTTCACATAGAGATGCACTGATTATTAAACAGTGATTTCTGTTCATATATTCTACATGTTCTTATAATTCACCTCCCTAATCTGTCGTATTCTGAGTGTCTCTCTTCATCTTCTCGTCTTGTAGACCATCCTGGTGGGAGACAGCGGAGTGGGAAAGACGTCTCTACTGGTTCAGTTTGATCAAGGGAAGTTTATCCCTGGATCGTTTTCTGCAACGGTGGGAATCGGATTTACGGTAATTCACCCTGTTAATCGATAATAGTAAGAGTTTTAATGCTTTTTTTTTTTTTTTTAAAGAAGACTCTTCTGATCACCAAGCCTGCATTTATTTGATCCAAAGTACAACAAAAACAGTAACATTTTGAAATATTTTTACAATTTAATATAACTGTTTTCTATTCCAATATATATTAAACTGTAATGTATTTCTGTGATGCGCAGCTGTATTTTCAGCATCATTACTCCAGTCTTCAGTGTCACATGATCTTCAGAAATCATTCTAATATGCTGATTTGCTGCTCAAGAAACATTATTATTATTATTATTATTATTACTACATTGAAAACAGCTGAGTAGAATTTTTTCAGGATTCTTTGATGAATAGAAAGATCCAAAGATCAGCATTTATCTGAGATAAAAAGCTTTTGTAACATTATACACTCTACCATTCAAAAGCTTGGAGTCAGTATAAAAATAAATTATAGAAATTAATACTTGTATTTAGCAGGGATGCTTTAAATTGATCAAAAGTGATGATAAAGACATTTATCATGTTAAAAAAGATTTCTATTTCAGATAAATGCTGTTCTTCTGAACTTTCTATTCATCAAAGAAACCTGAAAAAAATTATACTCCGCTGTTTTCAATGTAATAATAATAATAATAAATGTTTCTTGAGCAGCAATTCAGCATATTAGAATGATTTCTGAAGATCATGTGACACTGAAGACTGGAGTAATGATGCTAAAAAGTCAGCTTTGAAATCACGGGAATAAATTACATTTTAAAGTCTATTCAAATAGAAAGCAGATATTTTAAATAATAAAAATATTTCAAAATGTTACTGTTTTTGCTGTACTTTGGATCAAATAAATGCAGGCTTGGTGAGCAGAAGAGACTTCTTTAAAAAACATTAAAAATCTTTTGAGTGTACCTGTCTCCTCTGTGAATATATCAATGGATAGAGAAACAGATGAAGAGATTTAAACCTGGAGAATGTCACACCTGATGCATCTGCTGTATAATGCTCACTGCTTCTCTGTTGTCAGAATAAAGTGCTCACTGTGGATGAGCTGAAGGTGAGATTACAGGTGAGTGAATCTGAGTTTGTGAAGCGTTAATGAATCAGCAGTGCATCTCATTATAACGGATGAATGTGAATGATCTGCCGTCTCAGATCTGGGATACGGCGGGACAGGAGAGGTTTCGGAGCGTCACACATGCGTATTACAGAGACGCTCAGGGTGAGAAATGATCAACCCTTCACTGTCTGTCAGCGTTGTGGTTTTATTCTAATCGATGATCGTTTTATTGTTGATCTCACAGCTCTTCTCCTGCTCTATGACATCACCAGCAAATCCTCCTTCGACAACACAAGGGTACAAACTCTGATTATCAGTCAGGACACTTCAGTTCAAGCCATTCTATGCACATGAACACATGTAAAATAAATAATAGAATAATAATATCTAGTTTGTCCTCCTGAAGTTGATGGTCAGCTGAATGTTAAACACTTGTTGAAAAAACTGTGTTATTAAAACATAGTGTCATTATTTTATAATCATTAAGATATTAGTGTAGTTTTTGTTAATATTTGAAATTGTTTTTATTTTATATTTCATAAGATTTAATTTTTACGAATTTAATTTTTATAATTAGTTATATATATAGTTTTATGATTATTAATAACTTATTTTTATTCTTAGTTTTTATTTCAATTTTAGTTTTAGTTCTTTTAGTCCATCAAGTTAACCAAGTGAAATGTTACTGAAACTACTATTTTATTTCAGTGGAAGTTTATTTTATTTTATAAAACGGAGAGTTCCGGTCCTTGATTCTGATTGGCTGAGCCGCGTTCAAAGCTGTTGTAAATAACTCTACAAAGTAACATACACCTTTGTTTACGTTTGTCTGTTGCTCGGCAGCCACTTTGTAGCAACCACAACTGTTTCTGAGGAGCTACATTGTTTGGTGGAAGAATACTGTTTTTATTAATATCATTACACTTTATTTGCTCTGTTTTATTTTGTGAAACCTTACTACGTATATGGAATAACCGTTTTATAAAAGCAATAACCCCCGTGAAGCCGTGGTTTACAGTGAATTTATAACAGCTAAGGGGGTTAGCTCCGCTTCGCGTCGTGCCTAACAACGTCCCTTAGCTGTTATAAATTCACTGTAAACCACGGCTTCACGGGGGTTATTGCTTTTATAAAACGGTTATTCCATATACGTA